CTGTGCCTCTGTCATGTGTGGATTTAACTCTTTCAGCCCCAGTCTCTGAGCAAAGGCCAGTCTGTGCCTCTGTCATGTGTGGATTTAACTCTTTCAGCCCCAGTCTCTGAGCAAAGGCCAGTGCCAGGTCTGCCTCAGCAGCGCAGTGTGCTGGCCCAGTCTGGGTAGGTGGCAGGGAATCAAACCCCAGGGTTGGTGGGCTCGTGTCTCTGTAGGTGGGTGGATGCCCGTGTGTTGTATAAAGAGATGGAATCGGGTTCTTTGATTCTGTTACTTGCACAGACTTCAGCCGGGGTTTAAATTAACACTTTCTCCATTGCTGCTAGGATAAGCTGTAGAAGTAGCAGTAGCATTTATTTGGAGGGGGTAAAAGAGTGTAAATTATCACTGGCAAAGGCAGCGCAAGCCAAGGGGAGCCCTGAGCCCGGCTGAGCTGCCCGGGCCGGCCCCGCTGCCGGCCTGTGCCGCCCTCTCGCGGGCTGTGCCCGGCCCTGGCTCCGCTCCTCTCCCCGAGCAGCAATGCTGCTGCCAGGATATCCTCGCTGAGCGGAAACCGGTGTAAATTAAAGATCCCTTAATTTTTCCTGATCAGAGCGAGCCTGGTTATAGTTAAGCTGTCGGCTCAATTGCTGTTGGATTAATTTCACTGGAGTATTCTCTAATGGCAAAGTAACTTTAATGAGATTTTCAAAATTTAGTCTGAAGGGCTATCCTACCCTGTTTACTGATGAGAAAGAGACATTCAATTGAATTTAAATGGTGCTTCCACTGATCGAAGCGATTTTTTTTCTTAAATATCCCTGTTTCTTTGAGACTTCTTTCCCTCACATGTGAGAAAAGTTTGTCTTTCATCCCTTGGAGGAAATAGGAAGAATTCATCTCCCACTAAAGGGCTGTGAATGCCAAAGACATCCTGTGGATTATTTACTGTGTCTGAGCAAGTTGCACAATAACAGATCCAGACTCCTGATCCTGGCACCAAAGATTTCTTCCCTGGATTAATTCAGATCCATAATGGTGTTTAATATTTGCTCATGGTGGAATAACTTTAGGAGATTATCCCATTTATTTGGATCATATAAGGATGTTTCTTGCATAAGAAAAATTTTTAAGTTTCTTCAGTTATGTAATACTTGTGTATACACTCAGTTTAAGTTGTTCCACAAGACCAGATATTTCAAAATATTCTCTAGAGTGTCTACAGTTCTGTGATCACCATGTGCAGGAAAGAGAAGGGAAACTGGTAGCAGCTGGGATTTGTGGGTTGGAAAAGGTTTAATTTGCTGTTCTAATTACACTCTTTACATTCTTTTGCACCAGAACTAGAATTACCTTGGCAGTAATGCCAGTAAAACAACATTTATTCTTTCTTGCAATTAGGCACCTTACTGGGAGGAAATAGAGTAGAGGCCTGATGAGAATCTCCATGAAGCAATCTTCTCATCAGTGCCAGGGATTGCTTTTTAGGTTGAAACTGGGAAATTTTTCAGTTATCTTGTAATTACTGGGTTTATTTGTTTATTTGTACTTAGGCTTCTGTTAACACTTTTTAATTTTAACTTTAATTTCTGCTGTGGTCAAAATATATATATTTTCTTTTGCTTTCAGCTCCACCACTTCTGATGAGTTTGATGCAGTTGTTGGCTATCTGGAGGATATCATAATGGGTAAGGTTTGCAAGTAGGTACAGACAACAGCAGGGCTGTTAAACATGTTGCAGCTGCTCTTCTGTAAATTAGCCAACACACAGAGCCCCTGCCTGCTTTATGGAGATTTTCCTTCCTTTCCTACCTGGTAGTGTAGTAAAAATATACATAAATTTCTTCTGTGTGTTTCTGACTCTTGAAAATGATTCTCCACATCCCTGCAGCACACTGCTTCTTAGAGAAACAGTAAAGATGCTTGTGCATCTCACAGAGAAATCAAAGCTTTCTGGGATCTTTGTGGAAGAGACTGTGGGAGGGATCCTTCCCTTCCCCAGCTCTGCCCAGACTTCTCCTGACATCTCTGCCAGGATGTTCTGAGAAGCTGCCATGGTTTGTCTGGGCAGTTTTCTGCAGTGCCCAGCTGCTGCTGCAGGGAGCCTTTTGCACTCTGATATAAAGTTGGTTCTATTGAGGGTTGGTTCTATTCCAGGACTGAAAGCTGCAAGAATGGGGAACCCCATTTCTGTGTTTCCAGCCCTAAAGACAAAGATGGTCACAGAATCACAGAATGGTTTGGGTTGGAAGGGCCTTAAGGATCACTCACCCCCCTGCCATGGGCAGGGACACCTTCCACTGGAGCAGGCTGCTCACAGTCCCATCCAGCCTGGCCTTAGGCAGTAAAAGATGCTCAATTCTCAGGGATGTGGCTTTAATGAGAGCTCAGTGTGTGCAGGGAAGGTTTTTAGAAGATGCCAAGGCAGAGTTCATGCTGATCAGCCATCAGCTGCTTTATAGGAGCAGCACATCATTTCTTTGGTCACATCCTTCCCAGAGAGATGTAGATTCTGGAGCCTCAGTTGCCTGGTGATGCAGTTAATTCTGGAGAAATGCTAACTAAATTAATTTGGAATGTGTCAGAGTTTGGAAGGCTGTGCCTGGTGTCCTTTACCAGTGTTCATAAGTAAACTTTTTATTTATACCTGTTTTGTGGAATTCCATGGTAACCTACTGTGTTTATTTTTACTCTTCTTTTCTTCCACAACTGGAAAAAAATTCTTTGGCAATTGAAAATTTAATCTGGGAATTTCACTAATATTTTTAAATTCAAACACAAAAACTTAGAGTTCTTGTAGAAAAGAGGTATTCACTTATTAAAAAATACAGATGTTTTGCAGACTTTAGAGCCAGAGCAAAAAGAGGTTGAGAATAAATAACTATTAATAAATGTAGAGCAGCAGGGCTGTTTTGGTAATATTTCACCATCAGCCTCTGTTCTCTCACAGATGGGTCAGAAGTGGTGCTTTGGCAGCAGCTGTGGGGCTGATGTGATGAACTCTGCACGTGTGCAGGGCTCTGTGCTGGCAGCAGGGAAGCAGAGGACCAGTGAATGTGGGGTTTGTGTTACAGAAAGAATGACTAAACTCCTCACTCTGTGCTGCTTTTCTGTCATGGCCCAGATGATGATTTCCAGTTAATACAGAGGAATTTTTTGGAGAAGCACTACCAGGAGTTTGATGACTCAGAAGAAAACAAGCTCATCTATACAGACATTTTTAATGAATATGTAAGATACCTTTTCCTATTTTTCTTATTTTTTTTAATATAGTTCTCCCTTTATAAAATACTGGGCTTAAATGGAGCAGATCCAAACATGTTCCTGTTTCCTTCAGAAGCACAGCCATGATCTGTGAGCAAAAAGGTTTTTTTCTGAAGCTTTAGGTTCCTTTCTCATTGTTTCACACAAAATTTGCTAGAATTACAAGAGTTTGGTTTCTGTTCAGCTTTTGCATTGGGTCATTTTAGTTTAACCAGCTTCCTGAAGAGCTTGTTTTTGAAAGATCAGTGGTTTTCCCCTTGAATAAGAAAATCAAGTGCAATTGGGAAAATTTTGTGAATTTTTGTGAATTTTCCCTTTTTGTTTTTTTGGAAGTTGTGTCGGTCCCTTGCATAGAAATTTAGCCAATTGCTGTAGTAAATAATGTGTTTAGCATGTGTGCAAACAAAGTTTCTTCTTTTCCAGTTGTTTTATTTCTTGTATTGGATAATTCAATCACATTCTTCATGCAAAGCAAATCAAGAAACTAGACCAGTCTGCTATTCAATACCATTAAATGAGCTGGGAAAATATTTGTTACTAGATATAAATATTTGTTACTAGATAGAAATAGTCAGTGTTTGTTCTCCCCAAGATCCCCAGCAAAAAATGTGCAGCTCTGTGCCTCAGGGCTGGTGTGAGAGCAGAACCAGCAACACCCCTGAGGAATCTGCAGTAAGGATCCTGCAGGGTGTCAGTGTAAGGATGCTGTTTGAAATCTGCCTCTGACATTCTTGTGATCTTACTGGGGTGGTTTGTCTGGGTTTTTTTCAGATCTCTTTAGTAGAGAAATACATTGAAGAGAAGTTGCTCGATCGGATTCGTGGGTTTGATATGGTTGCTTTCACAGTGTCATTGCAGTAAGTCTCTGCTTTGCTTTTGCTTGAGGTTGTGTGCCTCTCAGTTCTTTTTATCTAGATTAAAGCCTAAGTTTTTGGCAGTTCTCCCTTTAGATAATGGTTCCACTTTAAGTTAAAATAGAAGTGTTCATGCTGGCTGTGACTGAGCACTTTTCTTGCCTGCAGCATGTCCTGCAACTGTAAATTTCTGAGTTATCCTGCTGAAATACATTGGTTTGAAGGGGTAGGAAGAGAAATCAGACTGAGAGCACTGGAGAATTTTTGTGTTTCTTGTCACTTTGAAGCCAGACCCTTAAAAGGTTGTGTCTTAACTCTTCCAGGCACCTCAGTAGCCTGGTGGTGTTTCAGTCATGTTGTTGAATTCCTTTATTGCAGTTTTCATATGGAGCATCCAGAGAAGAGTTTGGTTTGTGTTCAGCTTTTGCATTGGGTCATTTTATCTTAACCAGCTTCCTGAAGAGCTTGTTTTTGAAAGATCAGTGGTTTTCCCCTTGAATAAGAAAATCAAGTGTCATTGGGAACTGAGTACCTTAAAATATTTGAATCTGGTTAATTTTTAATGTTTCTTAAATTAACAGGTCAGGTTTTCAAGGACTGATATGATACTCATAGGTCTTGGATTTAGATAAATTTAACAATGGAGTTGGATTGGAAATACTGCATGGTAATATTTGGCTGCAGTTTTGCTATATGATAACCTGCAATAATATTCTTGTTTAAATACTGATATCATTCTACTTGTCCTTTTTGACCTTGTATCATTTTAAAAATAACAAATTTTCCTCACACAATTTTCTCATTCCCCAACTTCTTTTTCTCTGTAGACAGCACAAAGATGAAATGCCAGGTGATATATTTGATCTGCTTCTCACATTTACAGACTTTCTGGCTTTCAAAGAAATGTTCTTGGAATACAGAGCTGTGAGTATTTCACATTGTTTATTTTCATTGGCACAGTAGCTGTTGGTTTTGTGTAGCTCCACCTGAGAGTGCCAAAGGAAAAGTTTCTACAGTAGGTCACAGTATTTAACCAAAGGCTGTAACAGAGTCAAAAAAAATTAATTCAATGAGCAGCTTTTTAAACTCAAACTGCACATTTAATGATTTATAGAAAACATTAATAAAGCTGGCATGTGGAGCAGCTTTCCTGCTTTTGTGAACTTCCTGCATTTGTGAATATTGTTTTCCAAATGAACAGAAGGGAACACTTTTTCACTGTGACAGTCTCTGAGCTTGTGGAGTCTCCATCCTTGGAGATATTCTAAAGTTGTCTGGACACAGTCCTGAGTGACCATGCTTGAGTGTGGGGCTTGGCCCAGGGATTCCTGACAATCTTGTTGGGTTCACCTTCAATCCCAGATGTTCCACTAACATGTAATTTTATATTGGTTTGATGCAGCAGAAAATGTATTGCCAGCTTCATTTGAAATGCTTATTCCAAACCATCATGGAGTCACAGATTTCTCTTTTTTTCCCCATGTTTCTAGGAAAAAGAAGGTCGAAGTCTGGATTTAAGCAGTGCGTTAGTGGTGACTTCATTAAACCATTAAACAAATCATTCTGAAGGGAGTTCTGTTGTATTTTAAGTGAGGTCTATTCAAATTTCAGAGGGGAAAGGCAGCGATTCCCAGGAGGGGCCGGGGCAGAGGGGCGGGGACTCGGCTGGGAGGGAGGAGGGTGTTCGGTGGGGCCGGGCCGGGACTGTGGGTCCCTCTCCAGGGGGTGAAATCGAAGCTTTCTGGGATTTTTATACCCTTGCACAAATGGATGGAAGAGACTGTGAGAGGCAGCCTTCCTTTGCCCAGCTCTCCCCACAGTTCTCCAGGATCGTCTTAGAAGCTGCCGTGGTTTGTCTGGGCAGTTTTCTGCAGTGCCCAGCTGCTGCTGCAGGGAGCCTTTTGTACTCTGATATAAAGTGCCTGAGCTGCAGTTCGAGCTCCTTGTTCTTTGTCCTGTCTCTGCTGAACACAGAGAACAGTTTATTCCTTCTGTTCCTGCAGCACCATTGCTTAACTGGCAATCACCCAGTTCCAACCCCCCTTCCACTGGAGCAGGTTGCTCACAATCCCATCCAGCCCTGGCTTCAGGCAGTAAATTCTCAGGGATGTGAGAATCAATTCTCAGGGATGTGGCTTTAATTGACAAGTCAGTGTGTGCAGAGAAGGTTTTTACAGGATGCCAAGGCAGAATTCATGCTGATCAACCATCAGCTGCTTTATAGGGACAGCACATCATTTCTTTGGTCACATCCTTTCCAGAGAGATGCAAATTCTGGAGCCTCAGTTGCCTGGTGATGCAGTTGAATCTGGAGAAATGCTAACTAAATTAATTTGGAATGTGTCCGAGTTTGGAAGGCTGAGACCTGTGTCCTTTATCAGTGTTTGTAAGTAAATTTTCTGTCTGGATTTTGGAATTCAATAGTGACTTCCCATGTTAATTTTTATTAATTTTATTTTCTTACTCTTCCTGATATGTATTTATATATATGTCTATATATTCATAACTGTGGAAATTTGACCCTTGATTTACTTACTGACAGCCAAATAAAGGCAGATGTGTCATGGGCCAATGCCATGTGTCCAGTTCCTTTTCAGTTCTCACCTTCCATCACTGCAGTTCCCTTTCCTGATCCTGCCTCTGCAGACAACCTGGTAAAACTTTTCCCATGCAGAGCAGGCAGCAAAATTTGCAGAGTAGCTCACCATGCACCAGCTTTGGGACTCACTGAATCTGCTTTTACCACCTTGTACAAGGAGGATATGAAAGGAAAAGCTGCTCTGCCTGGCTGGGCATCACTTCTCGTTCTGACAACACCCAAAAGGTGAATTTGTGGTCTGGAACACAGGGGAGCAGTGTGGTTCTTCCTCTCCTGAGGCCCTGATCCTGCCTGTGTTCCCAGAGCTTCTGCAGACTTGATTGTAATTTCTGAGAATGACCTGCAGCTAATGGGCAAAATTGACTTGCTGGTTAATTAGGTGAACTCAGGAGTGTGTGGTGCTGAGCCAGGAAGAGGGAGTGATCAAGGCCTTGGCACCTTGTTGGTGTTCTTGTGGTCTTGACTGCACACTCTGAGCGTGTGTGTGCATAAAGCAATGAGAGGTGAACGCTGTGGCCTCGTTCCTTCCATAGCCCACACAGTAAAGCCCACATGGAGGGGAAGGAACAGCCACCTCTGCAGTGACATCTCTGCTGTCCCCACCACGCTGTGCTGCCTTCTCACAAGTTTTCTCATGACAGACTCCAGTGCTGGATTCAGGAATGTTTTTATTTAAAGCATAAAATTTCTATTCAAATTGTTAGAAATCAATCCAAGAGCAGTTACGACTGCTTCCCTCGCTTCACTTCTCATCTTCCAGTTCTGCCGCTGTTTCTGCACCCCGTTAATTGCATTACTTACACTGTAGCTGTGAATGAGCAGAGAGGGGAGCCTGGGCTTGGGTTAGTCAGTTTTAGTACTGCACTGTGCCAAACTGGCTGAGCCCCCTGAGTGGAGCTGCTCTGCTGAGGATCCAGATGAGCCCTGGGGATGAGCAGGAGCTGCAGCCCCAGCGAGTCCGTGTTGTGCTGCGGGCACATCAGGTGGGAGCATCCTCAGAAACCACAGGGCAGCATCCACATGAGCCAGTGCTGGGCACTGCTGCCAGCCCAGGCTGCTCCCAGAACGAGCCCTGGTGGCACACGGGGCTCCGAGCCTGGCACACGGTGGCCCCAGGGTGGCCCCAGGGTGGCCGGGCTCTGCTGCCCACTCCTCCTCACGCGTGGTCGCTCACTTGGCTGGTGGCCGCGTTGCTGCCCAGCCCCTTCCAGGCGCGGAAGCTGAAGAAGGTGCTCACCCCGTAGGTGATCATGGTGACACAGGCGAAGAACTGGAAGAGGAGCACCCATCCATCCCCGTGTGAGCTGGGGGCTGCCCCAGCCCTGCCCTCCCTCCCTCCCGCCGGTACTCACGGAGGCGGCGGCTCGCCGGTTGTAGTCCCACTGCCGCCAGGACGTGGGCTGCACAGCGGCCGCGCACGTCACGAAGGCCGTGATGTACAGCACGGTGGCCACGGCGTTGCAGATCATCAGCTGGGGAACAAAGAGGAGCTCCTGAGGTCTGGGCTCAGGATCGGGCATGCAGCAAAAGGCTCGGGTTCACATTCCTCCCCATACCCCAGAACACATTAAATGCTCCCCAGGTTGTGCTGGAAGGTTTTTGGATGATGCCACAACTGCAGCAGTTGGTGGCTGTAACTTTCTGGATTGACACCGGACTTTCTAGTTTGAGCATTTTCTAAGCAATTCAAGGGCAGAATGAAACAACGTCACTGTGCAAAGCGCAGGGGACTCGGTTCCATCAGCCCAGAAGAGACTGAAGCCTTCCCAGACCACCTTTCCAAGATGTTTCCCTCTTGGGATCCCCCCTCACCCCTCTCCGCTACGCACCACGAGGGGCCAGGGGACCATGTAGAACTTCTGATGAAGCTGCAGGAGGTAAATCACCAAGAAAAGGAGCGTTAGTATCCAGAAGAAGAGGGACACGAACATCACCCAGCCGTAGGCCGCGTGCAGGTGGTACGTTGTGGCGGCGATCAGAGACCACACCAACAAACCGAGCACCTGTACGATGAAAAGGGGAACCTGTTCAGGGGCTGCCTCCTGCAGGGGGAGCACAGAACATCGCTCACAAGCCCAGGCACACCAGCACCAACAGCAGGTGGGTTCCCCTCACTTCAGGAAGGCAGTGGAAGGGCAGGAGAAGGGCTCCTTGGAAAGCCGCCGTGCCCCTGTGTAAGCCCGCACCGCCCATTGTCATGGAAGGAACACAACAGCCTTTGTGCTGCCCGCGCCCAACGCCCTGGCTGCCCCGACAATGCCTCCTTGTCCGTCACATCCATTTCTAACACTCGTGATCACAAAATATGTGCTGGGGAGAACCACGCAGGGGGCTCCTGCAGGAGTGGGAGGTGGCACGCGTGAGCTGCTGCCGGGGGAAAGCAGGGCAAGGTTTAACAGCGTGCCCTGAGCAAGGGGCTGCAGAGATGGGAGCAGCTGCAGAGCTGGAAGGTCTCGGCTGCTGGCCTTGCTTCCATCTCTCTTTCCTGGCGCTCCTACAAGGCACCCCCAGCAGCATCCTGCCCAGCCCCTACCCTGAGCGTTTGTCCCTATGCCCACCACCAGCTCAGCCATGCCCAGGGGCTGGAATCTGGAGCCAGGAGCCGGGTCTGTGCCAGCTGTTTCACAGCGGCTGCTCAGGGCACATCCCACAACGCTGCCCCGAGGAGAAGGGACGAGGGAACAGGCTCCCGGCACCGTGGGCAGGTCACGAGTGGCCCGGTCCGCAGCAGAACTCCCACCCCTGTGCGTTCATGCGGCACCGTGGTCCCGGGGACAGCACCAGCGGGAGATCAACTGCGGCTGCCTCCGATGCTGAGGCAATGGGCAGTGATGCTGCTGCTCGATTTGAGGCTGCAAGGACCCTTGGGCTCCTCTGAGAGGCTGGGAGGACAACCTGGAGAGCTGAGAGCGTTCCAGAGAGCGTGAGAGCCTCAGGGGCACTCCCAGCTCAGCTCCCCTGGAGTCACCGCGCTCCACACACCCCGACCCATCGGCTGTGCCCCGCGGAGATGCCCGCACGGATCAGCCCGTGCCTGGCACTGGGAACCACCCGGCACTGAGCAGTTACAACCGGCAAGGGGTGTGAGGACGAGAATCCGACTTTTCCTCTGGTTTACCGAGTGAAGGAGGAGAGAGGAGGCTGCACTGTCTTAGGGTTGGGGATTACCCAGGGTTAGACAGCGGAGATGGGGTCGGAGTGGCAGCCGAAGAGAGCCCGGGCTGTTTCCAGCTGCAGAAAAGCCCCCGAGCGGGTGATGCCCTCCCTCCTTTCCCGCGCCCCCTCCTCGGTACTCACGGCCTGGGCGCACATCAGCCCCCCGAGCGGCGAGAGCAGGAAGGAGCCGTCCAGGGCCGGGGGGGAGCCTGGGGAGGCGCTCCGGGCTCTGGCGGCGCCGGGCAGCCCCGCCATGCCGCGCACCGGCCCCGGGACGGCCCCGGCACGGCCCCTCCGCGGGCGGGGCGCGGGTGGCTCCGGGGCGGCCGGGCTGACCCCGCCGCTGCCCCCGCCCCGCCACCCCCGGAGCCTCCGCCCGGCGCCGCGCTGCGCTCCCGGTGTGCGGCCGTGTGCCCGTACCGGGGCACCGCCGACAAAGGGCGGCCCCACCGCGACTGCCCCCGCTCCCCGTATGCCGGCGATGCTCTGCTGGAGCAGCCCGGGGCACCGCAAACTTCCGTGCAGCCGTGTCCTGCTCGGTGCTCACCGGGGACATTCGGTAGCCTCCGGCGCATCCCGGTGCCTGGCGTTGCTCCTCGGCGGGGGCCGGGAGACACACGTCTCCTTGTTAAATCCTGGAATAATTTGGGTTGGAAGTGATTTAAGGCATCTCGTTCCAACCTCCTGCCATGCAAGGACACATTCCACTAGACCAGGTTGCTCCAAGCCCTTGGACTGGCTCCAACATGGCCTTGAAAACTTCCAGCTTCTCAGGTCAATCTGCGTAGCGCCTCATCAGTTTCCACTCCGGGAGATTCCTGTCGGCCTGTATCCCGGGCTGGGCCGGGTCATTCTGGATGGCAGCAGGACCCTCTGGACGATCATCCGCTGCTCCCGGTCTGGTGTCATGCGCCCAGGGCGCTCCGGGCCACATCACGCAGGTCGTTAATGCAGCCCGCGGCGCAGGGCTGGGCCCGAGGTTGTCCCGGGGCTGTCCCGGGCTGTCCCAGCAGTGACCGGACACTGCAGCTCGGTTGGGATGTGGGATGTGATGCGGCTACAAGAGCGCGCTTTGCAGCAGGTCAGGATGGCCGAGCGGTCTAAGGCGCTGCGTTCAGGTCGCAGTCTCCCCTGGAGGCGTGGGTTCGAATCCCACTTCTGACAGCTACTTTTGCGCCGCCTGCGGGCGCTTTTAGCTGCGGAAGATGGGCGGGAGCGGGAATAGGAAAAAAAAATACAACTACTAAAAGCGCGTAAATGAAAGCAATTAACTAATTAACTACAGGCCAGCGTAACGCAAAAATACTTGAGCTGTCAGAAGTGGGATTCGAACCCACGCCTCCAGGGGAGACTGCGACCTGAACGCAGCGCCTTAGACCGCTCGGCCATCCTGACACCGCTGGGCGGTCTTGGCGGCCCGTGCTACACTTGAGGGCGTTGGGCGAACGCTCCGTGAGCTCCGTCAGACTGTGGGCTGTGACAACGCCCTGGGGAGCGTCCTCCAAAGCCCGACCACCGTCTGCGTGAAGCACCTTTTCCTAACATCCAGCCTAAACCTCCCCACGCACAGCTTCAGCCGTTCCCTCAGGTTCTATCACTGGTCACAGACAGCGGCATCGCCCCTCTGGTGCCTCTTCTGAGGAAACTGAAGCCCACAATGAGCTCTGTCCTCAGTATCCTTTGTTTCAGGCTGAACAAGCCACTCCTCACATGGCTTCCCCTCCAGACCCTTCACCATCCTCACGGCCTCCTTTGGATGCTCTGTTACAGCCTTAGATACTTCTTGTACTATGGTGCCCAAATCTGCTCCCAGAACTCGAGATGAGGCTGCACCAGCACAGAGCAGAGTGGGACCATGACCTCCCCATCCCACAACTGCCTTTAACAATTCCAGTTCAACCCAAAAATGGGATGGTTGAGGCACAGCTGAAAGGTTTTGCTGCATACATTTGCTTGAGACTAATAGCTCTAAACCAATCTGAAACTAGGAACTCTAGCATGTGGAATTACAAGTCTTAGGAGTACAAGCAAGCTCTTCCCTGAACTAGGCTGGTTCATGGGAGGCCATGCCTTCTCCTTCCTCCACCAGGCATTAGACAGGAGAGTCATGCTGGGGGGAGCCCTGGGGGAAACCCGGTTCCCTGCTCAAATCCCTCCAGGTTGCACAGAGAGCACCCTGTGACTGATGCTTCCAACCTCTGTGCAGGTAGGTGTGTGGTACACTGACCTGACCTCAAACTCCTCCTCCTCACCCCACATGAATGTAAAGATATTCCTGCTGTTCCAGCTGCGGAGCTGGCAGTGAAAAAAAGATGTTACAAAAGAAAAGACAAAGCTACAGCCACAAGCTTTCAGAAATATATACATAAACCACAAGGAGACAGGAAACGTAAGAAAACAAAATATACTTTATTAAAATTAAGCATGTTAGCACCTCAGTGTAACCTGGAGAAGTCAAACAGTCCAGCAGGTAACCAGTCCAGCAAGGCCAAATGGCTGAACATCCTGAAGTGTCTCCTGATGGTAGAAAAAGTACCATGACTGTCAGGACATGCACGCTCTGAAGGAGCTCAGAGGCACAACCAGCCTCGTTTGCAAGGAGGGATGTTGTGCTGCCTACTCTCTTGGTGGGAGCATCAAGAGCTGCTGGACCAATCACAAATGTTAGATCCTATGGTGGAGCAGGTATCTGTTTGTCCTACAAAAGAAACCAAAAACAAACCCAAAACAAGCCAAACCAACCCAACGAAAAAATCGCCGCTAACTCGACTCGCAGAAAAATCAGTACAGCACAGAGCTGGAGAGCCACATATCAGATTGAGAATAAATTAAACTGAAGTAACAGCAAGGACTTGGTACATGGATAGACATGTAGCATCCTTACAGATGACCATCCAACTTGGCACACACGTTATTAAAAAATGACCCATGCATCACATAGCAGGCTGTGACAACCTGGAGCTGAACTGGCTTCAGGATCTACAGAGAAACCTCCGGCTACAAAACCCCACGGTGCCCTTTTGTTCGGCTGCATACAGTGTTGAAGCTGATGGTTGTAAAGCTACATTAGCCAGTGTTACAAAGATTACATAATTTCAAACTAAAGATACTTTTTACATTTAGAAAATACCTCTATAAAATTTAGTAAAAGTGACATCCCAATCTACTGAGCACAATGCACTCCGCTTCCAGAAGGATCTCACAGAGCCAGGGAACACCTGGGAATTCTTCCCTCCAAGGTGAATGTGGGCATACTGTGCTGAAGTGCCCTTTGTTCTCAACATCCATCCTCACTGCCCATTGCCACAGGGCCATGCTGGGGCACCACACACTCCCCTTCTCCTCCTCCTCCTCCAAGCTGCTGAGGGATGTGTTCCACCAGCCAGGCTGGAAGTGCATAACCAAGCCAAACCCGTGGCTTTGCTACCCTCTCTCCACCCTCTTTCTAGCCAACGCTGATTTGGTTTCCTGTTGCAGAAAGTGAAGGGACTGATGCTGGCTAGAAACAGAAACTATACAACCATTCCACACAGATTTGTTACAATACTCGTAAATCTTGGTTTAGAACACACAAGCAGGTTTTAGTATGGTCTTGCCTAATGTACAGATTATTAGTCATGCCAACTAGTTTAGGATTAGACAGGAAAGGTTTGCAACCACTGCAGGTAAAGTCACTTCTGTTTCATCCTGGATCTCAGAACGAAAGCCAAGGATTAAAATTCCAATGTGTTACAAAGCCTCCATTTCATTAGAGGGAGTCTTAAGCCAATGAGATAAACTACAGCTGTTAAATGCCACTGAGTTCCTTGTACCAGACTGTAATCCTTACTGGTGTCGAGAACATGGAGACATCTGTAACCAATACACACACGCTGCAGAGAAAGCAGAAACTACACGGGTACAAGAACACTCTTTAATCTGGGGGTTCTGTCACGCTAGGAACAGCAGTCTTTTATGGCATCAGTAATTTACTGAAGAACACATCACCCTGAGAGGGTTTCTAAAGCTTTCCTCCACTGAGCGAGGCTGAACGCGACATCACCGACCATCCTGCGATGGGGACAGCGCCCACGGCAGTCGGACACGCCTTCTCCAGGGTAGTGTTGCTGTTACCTCACTTGACACAGAGCGAGTTTATTTGCTGAAAACCGATACCCTACGTCCACTTAGAGACGGCTCGGGTCCCATCCACGCTACGAGCAGCGCGTTCCGACCCCGCACACGGCGGGTTTGATGGGCCCGGCGTGAGGTGACACCGGAGACAACGTCGGGGCGATAACGGCGCTGGGCACCGAGCTGATCCAGTCCAGGCGGGGGAACCCGACGGCCTTGCCCGGCCGGGGGCTGCAGTGGCGTGGGCTGAGCCGGGCACGGAGGGGCCGCGCTCCATCCCATCTCTGCCGTGCCCGGCACCGCAGCGAGGGCGGCGGAGGCTCCGGGACGGAGAGCCCCGCGCCGGGCCGGGCGCCGGCAGCGCTCAGAGGCCGTGGCGCTTGCGGGTGCCGGCGCTGGCGGCGTGGAGCAGCCGGTCCTTCTCGCGAATCTCCTCGCGGAGCTGGGCCTCGGCCAGGCGCAGGCGGCGGATGCTGCCCTTCATCTCCTTCATCTTCACCTCCAGCAGCGCGATGATGTCGCGCTGCTCGTTCAGCTTCCTCAGCAGCTCCTCCGACGTGGTGCCCGACGACAGCGAGTACGAGTGATCGGGGGGGCCGCCCTCCACCGGGCTCTCCTCCCCCGCCGCCGCCGCCGGTACCGGCACCGGCAGCCGCACGGGGCTGGGCCCGATGGTGGCGGCGGCCCCGAGCTCCACCTGCACTGTCAGGTCGATGGGCTTCACGTCCTCGGCCGCGCCCCCTGCAGGGGCCTCGGCGGCGGCCGCGGGGCCCTGCGGGGCGGCGGCGGCGGCGGCGGCGGGGCGGGGGCGCCGGGCCCGCTGAGCCTTGCGCTCGTTGACGCCGCGCAGCGGGAAGATGGTGGGGACCCGCACCAGGTAGGACTTGCGGCCGCCCTGGAAGTGCTCGCTGCAGACGCGGTGGCCCGTGGTGGGCTGGAAGGTGCTGAAGCAGCCGCTGACGCCCGCCCGGGAGACGTTCTTGAGCCAGAGGCGCCGCAGCTCCTCGTCCTTGGGAAAGGTGTAGAAGTGCAGCGCCTTGTCGCGGTGCGAGTTGTTGTAGCAGCCCGGTACGCAGCAGGTGAAGCCCGGCATGGCCTCGCGGGGCGGGGGGACACCCGCGGCGAGCGGGGCGAGCGGCCCCGCCGAACTACAGCTCCCACAAGGCCCGCGCGGCCTCTCGCCGCCGCCGCCGCCGCCGCCCCGGAACTACGCGGACCACAATGCACCGCGCCGCCGGCGGAACTACCCGCCCCACACTGCGCCGCGGCCCCTCCCGGCGCTCGCGCGCGTCTCGCGAGAGGAGGCGGGAGGCGGCAACCGTTGGGCCGTTACCGGGCCCGCCATGGCTGACCGGCGGCCCCGAGCCAGGCCCGGCCTCAGGCGCAGCGGCCACAACGCGCGGGCCGTGGCACAGGTGCCCCGAGGGATCTGCAAGGGCGGGCGGGAGGGGAGGAAAGGAGAGTCGCTGTTGGGATTGACATCCCGTAGGACTCGCTCGGTGCCGCCCGCTCGGTCGCTCCCGGTTTGAGACAGCAGCGAAGCCTCCGAAGCAGGAGCGGAAGCTGCTCCCTCACCCTTGTTCGCCTTTGATCGTGTAAAAAGGGCCGAAAGCGCTGACTTTGGCTCTCGGCGGTTTTGGGTGGCGGCTGTGCTCTGAGGCCACTCAGGATTCCGTCCGCAGGAGGGTTTCATGCTGGAACCCCCTGGATCATTCCACCCGAGGGTTTTATGCTGGAACCCTTGTGGGTGATTCCACCCGAGGGTTTTATGCTGGAACCCTTGTGGGTGATTCCACCGGAGGGTTTTATGCTGGAACCCCCTGGATCATGCCCCGGGCTGATTTGTCTCCCGTCCACACGGGAAGTGTCGCTGTTGTCAAAAAGCCAGCACGCGCAATTTCTCTTTGGAATTTGGAGAAAAGTTTATCAGCTTGTTTAGCTTATTAGAACATGGGTGGTGGATGTTTTTGATGTTGGGGTCTTTAATAATAAAAATACTAGCTTTGAATTGCTTGTCTCTTGATTTCCCTCTAGACTGGATCGAGTGTAGAAAATAAGAGTAAATCTGTCAGGAGCACCTTGGCAAAGCAGGGACTGGGAGTGTTCCCTGATCTCAGAAATGGCACACCACGGCTTATGCTCAAGAGAGTCATGCAGAACCGTAAGTCTCTTTTTTTCAGGAGAATTGAGAACAGAAAAACAATGGTTTTGGAAAGTTAAGAAGACAGAGGGTGTTCCTTGGTGGCCCATTATCTTTTCCCCAAAACACAAAACAGAAATCAGATTGTTGTATGACTGATTTATGTAGCAGAGTCACTTCAGGGCACCTGAATTCAGGATACAACTGCCTGAGAGACCAGGCTTTGCACTGGTGAAATCAGAGCTTTGAAGATCCCCTTCAAAAGCCTCTTCACTTGGTCTTCTTATCCTGGTGACTGAGCACATGATCCTGGTGCTGCCTTTGGGTTTAGGATCAGCTGTGAGTTATTCTGCTGCAGTGCAGGGACCCTTGTGCTGCCCCCTGTCACCACTGGCTTTGTCACTGCCAGCCTTTCCAGGAGCAGAACCCACACAGTTTTCACTAGGTCTTTATTTTCACCTGCCAGTAAATGTTATTTACAACCTGTAGTGTAGATGTGACATTCTGCTGTATTGAATTGAGGAAAGGAAATGTTCTGGTTTGTTGGCAGAGCCCCAGGTTTCACCACTGGCACCTCTGATATCTAACCATGAAGACACAAAAGAAGCTCATTCAGAAGTCCCATCTCAGAGGGTTTCCAGCATGTAAGTAGGTTTTTTTGTAATTTACACTTTTATTACACTTCTATTACACTGCTGTTATAGCTGCAGTTTCTGTGGTGGGATTGGGGAGCAGGACTTCTTGTGTTTCAGTGTTCAGAATTGCATCTTGTCAGGTGGGATTATCAGAAATGCCTCTGCAGCTTGGTTTGTTTTGGCAGGGGGGAATTGCAGCTGCCAGATGTTGCTCCTGAGGACACATCTACCACTGTGTTCAACATGAAAAAGAAGAGAAGGAAATTCAGCATTTCTGAATTTGAGAGGGCAGCAGAGAGTCGGCTTCCCCAGTACCAAGGTAAGGCTGCAGTCAAGAATTGCCTTGCTCACAGCTGCATTTGCTGTCAGCTGCTTCTCACCTGCTCAGCTCAGCTGTCAGGAGCTGCCCAGTTGTAGGTTTGGAATCCAGATTGCAATATCTCATGTAAAGGGGAAAATGGAGAAAGTAAAGGCCCCCATCCTATCAAATTTTAAATAAACCTTTTAAAGCCAAGTTCTAGGCTCTGCCACAACTATATATAATAATAGTAATTATATATATATATAAAATATAACAAGTATATAATTTCCTGACTACTTTTGCAACTTGGTGCTTTTTGAGTTTTGTGTCTCCAGAGGAACCCTGTCTTCTTCTCAGTTCTAGAAACTTTAAAATACAAAGAACTGCATACTTTCCATTACAATTCTATAAAATAACAATAAAGTTCTTTGTAAGCAGAACATGTTTGAGTTCCAGTTTCATCAAGAGTCTGTGGAATAGTTATCTGTGTTTCTAAAACTCCAGATGTGTTTGGGTTGGGTTGCTGAAGGTTGATTGTGACCAAGATCTAACATTTTGTTATGAGTGTGGTAAAATTAAAATTATTAAATCTGAGAGTATGTACCATGTTAAATTTTCATTGAAATAACTATTTTCTTACCCTTTCAGAAATTGCTTATTAGATTTCTAATATACAATTCTGAAATGTAGACAAGAAATAGTAAAGTGATCCTGTTATCTAATTCTGTTTGTATCAAAGTATGATGTTTGAGGATTGTAGCATGGCTGGCTCTGAAAAGAGGGAGATCCACTGGGATGTTCCTGTAGCCTGGTGTGTAATTTCTCAGCTAATGTGCCATTCACTTTTTCTAGCTCAGTCAGCGTTGGACAGCACAGTTATGACTCGGTGAGTTTAAATTAAAATGTCTTTAATTCTGTCTGTCCTGGCTGTGGTCACATCTGAAGGGGTGAGGAACAGTGCAGATGCCTGGGTTTGTGTTCAAGACCTGTGTTGGTGTTATAACACAGGCATCTGCCCCTCTGCTGGTGGAATTTCCAGGTGTTGCACTCACACCTTTTGATTTTCAGAAACTGCCTCTGCACTGTGTGCCTGGCTTGGTCTAGCTTGTATTGCTGCTGTTGCTCCCCTTTTCACTTGCTTGGATCATTCCTTTTTTTCTTTCATTCTCATGCTTCCAGCAGTAAATTGGTAGACAATATACCTTAAAATATTCTGTAAATCAGTACACAATATACCTTAGAATATTATATAAATCAGTACACAGTATACCTTAGAATATAATGTAAATCAGTACCCAGTATACTTTAGAATATAATCCCTGCCTATTCATAGTTTTATCACATCAATTGCATCTATGCAGTATTTTCTGGACTTTAAAAGCTTTTTAGTGAACCAAAGAACTTACTTTCTGGTGTTGCCTGTGTACTTTGCAAATGACCCTGGCCAAAAGCAGCACATTATTTCACCTTTCTCACTGCAGCCCTTGCCTGGGGTGCCACACAAGATGTTTTTTGGGGCTGCATTCTGTACTTCTGTCTTTGAGCCCTCTGAACCCCCTTTTTTAATGGGGTTTCCTGGAGACAGGGACAGGAGGTCATTGAGCATGGTCTGTCTTCAGGGTGCAAAACTCCTGCAGTGAGAAACATTTCCAATGCTTCAGGTGTTGCTGTCAGCTCTCTCTTAAACCAGTCACAGTGTGTTGGTAGCTGTATTTTGCTGAGAGTATTGATAATAAGTAGATTTTTAAACTTATTGGGATGTCTTCCGACCACCCCACTGTCATCTAGGGTATGTCTTTAATATCAAACTTTTTTTTTTCCCTTTTTATTTTTTTTTAAGATTTTGAAAATTTCTGACCCTTTTATCAGCTATAGTGTTGCAGTGTCTCAGGGAAGCTTTAAAACAGTCTGCTTCCTGATCTCTGTCATACATATCCTGATGTTGGGTGATGGTATGAAAATAAAACAATTAATTTAAAGACCGACCCATAACCTTCAGGATTTTTTTGGGGAAATTTCTCCTAGTTGTGCAAAATGTGTCACTGTTAGAGCCATCATGTCTGCATGTACTCTGAGGGGGAAGGGGGGGGTGTGTGATTTTGACAATTTTCCCCCTTTTTGCAGGTCCCTTCGCATGTCTGTGGGTTCCCTGCTGGCCCCAGACACTGTTGAGAAGAGGGGTTTGCTGAGGAGGCCCAAAACCCGCAGGGCTGTTGACATGCAAGCCTTTGAGGGCAGAGTGGAACAGAACCTGCTGAAGAGCAAAGGTTTCTTTAGTGCTGTTATTTCTCTTTTGGGCCTTACATTAAAGGGGCTTCTAGAAGCATTTACTGAAGCATGGTCTGTATTTTAGAATTTAAAATTTACTAACTCGTTGACAGAAATAGAGTGGGATTTGGGAGGCAGGATTAGAATGAGGTTCTGCCTTGGCAGATCCTTTGATTCTATGCACCTAAATGTGTATTTTGCCCAGTTTGGTCATTTAAACCACAGGAATTATTGGGGATCCTCTTCATCTGTGGGTACTGAGGTCTCCATTGTTTGGTAGGGAGAGTTGTGGGCACAGAAGTGGGGTCATACTGTGTCAGTGTTTGATCTCTTGAGGAGAAGTAAAATTTGGTTGAATGACTTAAACAGTGAATTACACAAATCCTGGTAGTATAGTGTGTCCCTGTGACCTTGAACAGTTTTTCACACAAAATTTGTTTTAAAACTTTCTCAACAGGACAGAATGATCTTGTGGACTCACAATCTGCATCTGGGATTCGAACAAGCATGCTGACCAGTGATGCAGAAATGATGATGAATAGCACAGAGCTCTTTGTTCAGCCCCTGCTGGATGAAGAGAGCCAAAATAAATTGTCTGCTCTTGAACCCCAGCTGTCAGATTCAAAAACTTCAGCACAGAGAAGCCCGATTTCTGATGCAGATCAAGAGGAAGCAAGACTGGAGGGCCTAGTATCCAGTGTGAGCACAAACCAGGAAAGGACCCAAAGATACTCCAAGAGCACAGGCCTTGATGATGAGCATGTTGACAGAATGAGTCATGTATCTCCAGAAACCCCTGCAAAACAGGGAGAAGAAAAGCAAGATCACTCCCAGCAGA